TAGGAAATGTTACTGATGTTTTTATTCACGTTTTTGGCCAGATCCTCTAACGTCGGCCCCAAAACGGAGATACACATTCCCTACAGAACACAGCACACAGAGTACAGCTGAATTAGTTCTAGATAAACATCCTGTTTGAACACTTTTACTGCACTTACATGCTAATATATTCAAGCAAATGCATCTCATCAAACTATTACAACCCATCAAATGTTCATGTGCATCATTAATACCTCTCATGGCTCTTCATATTCAATGTTTACTGAGTATATTTCACTATTTCTACTCTACACTATTTTATACTTACACCATTTATGCTTACATATTACAGTCCTTAGCAACCACCTAGAATACCACAGCAACTGCCTAGTAACACTATAGCAACCACCCGGGATAACATAGCAATGGTCTAGGAACAGCTTAGCAACCAAAATGGCTTAGCAATACCTTAACAACCCCCTGGATGCCACTGAAACTGCCTAGCAACACCTTAGCAACCACCTGGGATAGCATTGCAGTGGCCTAGCGACACCTGAGCAACCACCTGGGATAATACAGCAATGGCCTGGCAACAACTTAGCAACCACCTGGGATAGCATAGCACTGGCCTAATAACACCTTAGCAACCACCTGGGATTCCACAGCAAAGGAATGCCCTAGCAACACCTTAGCAACCACCTGGGATACCATAGCAACGGCTTAGCAAAACCCTGACAAAGACCTGGACAACATAGCACAGGCTTGGCAACATCTTAACAACCACCTAGGATACCATAGCAACACCTTAGCAACCATCTGGTACACCATCATGTGTGTTAGTGCGCTGCAGAGCGCCGCCTTCACTAACACTGTAATACTGTGAGGAAACTTCCTGAAGGACACTGTTAAACACTGACGCGTCCTGTGAGCTGCTCTCCACTGAGCTGCACCTCCAGACCGACGTGTTGAGATACCTGTGTAGGTGAGAGACGCAGTGAAGAAGCAGCAGCAGAGCAGGTTTTACAGCCTTCTCAACCAAATGAGTCCAGATTAGACTCACAGCTCAACGGCCAAACTCAGCGGCCAAACTCAGCGGCCTGATAATAATAAATGATTTAAATTTAAAGTGAAATTCCACCCATTTTTATTTATTCCTGGTTAAGATGTAAACAGAGTCATTCAGAGTGGTTCAGAGAGGTTCAGAGTGGTTTGGTGTGAAACGCTCCGTTCTAGATAAACTTACCGAGTCAGAACACACCACAGTGGTGGTGACAGGAACCAGACGTCCACCTCTAAAAGCTCCCTCACAGAAAGTTCCTACAGTAAATGGTTATGAATTCACTGCCTGATGACTGAGACACTGTTTTATGATAGTTTAAGAAAACTTATTATTTCAGATTTTCCACTATTTTCCATCATCAACATTCCATATAAGCTCAGAAGACTCGTGTAGGTTCTCTGGTGGTTCTGGATAGTAAATAAAATGTCTATATCTGTGTTGTAGTCATGGCGACCCCTGGTTCCTATCACCACCACTGTAAAGACATCTGAGTCTCAACAATCAATCGTTTCACACCGATGCACATCCTCTGAGTTTATATGGAATGTTGATGATTGAAAATAGTGGAAAATCTGAAATAATAAGTTTTCTATTCTGCCTCTCAGAGCTTTGCATATTACATATCAGAAACCATAAAAATACTTTTTACGCTTAAAATCTTCCCAAAACTATCATAAAACAGTGTCTCAGTCATCAGGCAGTGAATTCATAACCATTTACTGTAGGAACTTTCTGTGAGGGAGCTTTTAGAGGTGGACGTCTGGTTCCTATCACCACCACTGTGAACAGTTCTGACTCGGTAAGTTTATCTAGAACAGAGCGTTTCACACCAAACCGCTCTGAACCGCTCTGAACCAGTCTGAACCTCTCTGATTACATCTTAACCAGTTAATCATGTAGGAATTCTGTTAAATGGGTGGAGTTCCCCTTTAACACTATAATAATCCTGTCCCTGCAGATCTGGGTCAGAGGAAGCTGATCACATGTGTTAGAAATGAGCTAATCAATGAAATATTCAGGACTGATGATGGGGGGGTGATACAGGATCAATCAACAGTGCTGTGTGTTCATAACTAATTGCCCCCCAGAAGCCCCCCACTGTAGTGCTGCTGACGTCATTACCAGTCCCAGAAACGAGCCGCAAAGTGTCATGGTAACCATCCACCGGCCGCACACGCCGTGTCCCCGTTCGGCGGCGCGCGCCTGCTGCTCCCGGGGCTCCGCGTGCTGCTCGAACAGCGTCTCCTCCTCCGCGCGCGCGAACCGAACGCGCTTCTTCCTCCCGCCGCCGGGCGCCATTAAATATGATAGTGATCTATCAGTTTATCACATATAATACTATTACTGTTATACACCCCCTCTCTATATCATCAGCGCGCGCCTGCGGGGAGAGCGCGTGCACCGGCGCAATAAACGGCTTTTATCATCAGACCCGAAAACAGAACCGAAGATGAACAAAACAAACAAACACCGACCGAAAAGAACGAAACCTGTTTCTGAGCTCCGCTCACTAACCGCCCGCCGGCCTCCAGGGCAGCCTCACCGGAGCTGAAGTTTGAAAACTTCCGGTGACAACATAAAAGTCACTGAGCAGATACATGTTCTCCGAATAATTAAATAAATATAAATAAATAAAATAAAATTAAATTAAAAAGAGCCCTGAGTGTTCAGACGTGTAAGTCTCGGCGTGGTGGACAAACCAAACAAAACAGCTTTACTGTTAAACATGTTAATTACAAATACAATGTAGTAGAAAGTATATTACAGAACAAAATCCCCCCAGACTCTGTACACAGACGGAAAACATAGAACCCTGAACACTCAAAGAACCATTTCATATTTAAATGATGACTATAATAAATGGTGATATGGTTCTGCAGACTGATAGAGAACGTGTTGTATACAGGCTGACATCACAACAACAGCAGAACCCTTTTTGATGCTGTATAGAACCATATACAACACATCCTCCATCGATCTGAAGAAGCATGTCACCATGCAGAGAACCGTATAAGCATGCAAAGGGTTCTTTAAACGTTTATGGTTCTAAATAGAACCACTCTTTATTAAAGAACCAATTTTTTCAAGAGTGCACTAGTAGGTTGCCATTTTTGTTCTTGCTCTCTGTCTCTCTCTCTGTCTGTCACTCTCTCTCTCTCTGTCTCTCTCTCTCTCTGTCTGTCTCTCTCTCTGTCTGTCACTCTCTCTCTCTCTCTCTCTCTCTCTCTCTGTCTCTCTCTCTGTCTGTCACTCTCTCTCTCTCTCTCTGTCTCTCTCTCTCTCTCTCTGAACTACAGAGAGCTGAATTTCTAATATAATCCTCAAAAAATGCTCCCAAACCGTTTCTTTTTTGTTGACGTCCACTGCAGTTATCTGACGTCACAGTGCGCAGGTGGTGACTTACTCGTGGAGAGATTTTGCCCTTTTGCCACTGTTTATACTAAAGTCTGGTCTGAGCGTCCTGTTTAAACAGTATTAGAACAGTGTTCACTAATTTAAAGCCCAGTGTGTTTCTAAAATATAAACCACATCTGCTCAGGATTTACCACTGTTTGCTGATGGTTCTCAGTAGAAATGTAAGGTGGCGTTTTAAAGCGATGTTGGTGTTTTGGTGTAATAAGACTCGCCGCCCGCCACAGAAACCGGCCGCAGTACAGACTGCAGACGGCTAAAGGTTAAACTGGCCCTCCACCACTGTAAACACAAACATGATCACCTTTAAAAGGCATCAATAATGAAGAAATAAAGGTTTGACTGAACTGCAGCTGGAGCTGCACCTGTGCAGTGGGTGAAAACTTACATTTAGTCCAATGACTAGTTCAATATCCAATATCCGATAACCAATCCCATTTCCCATACATAATCCAATATCCAATAACTGATCCAATATCCAATACCTAATCCAATATCCAATAACTGATCCAATATCCAATAATTAACCCAATATCCAATGACTAATCCCATTTCCAATACCTAATCCAATATCTAATAACTGATCCAATATCCAATAATTAATCCAATGTCCAATAACTGATCCAATATCCAATGACTAATCCCATTTCCAATATCTAATCCAATATCTAATAATTGATCCAATATCCAATGACTAATCCCATTTCCAATACCTAATCCAATATCTAATAACTGATCCAATATCCAATAATTAATCCAATGTCCAATAACTGATCCAATATCCAATGACTAATCCCATTTCCAATATCTAATCCAATATCTAATAATTGATCCAATATCCAATGACTAATCCCATTTCCAATACCTAATCCAATGTCTAATAACTGATCCAATATCCAATAATTAATCCAATGTCCAATAACTGATCCAATATCCAATGACTAATCCCATTTCCAATATCTAATCCAATATCTAATAACTGATCCAATATCCAATGACTAATCCCATTTCCAATACCTAATCCCATTTCCAATACCTAATCCAATATCCAATAATTAATCCAATATCCAATAACTGATCCAATATCCAATAACTGATCCAATATCCAATAATTAACCCAATATCCAATGACTAATCCCATTTCCAATACCTAATCCAATATCTAATAACTGATCCAATATCCAATAATTAATCCAATGTCTAATAACTGATCCAATATCCAATGACTAATCCCATTTCCAATACCTAATCCAATATCCACTAATTAACCCAATATCCAAAAACTAATCTAATTCCAATACCTAATCCAATATCCAATAATTAACCCAATATCCGATGACTAATCCCATTTCCAATACCTAATCCAATATCTAATAATTAACCCAATATCCGATGACTAATCCCATTTCCAATACCTAATCCAATATCCAATAACTGATCCAATACCCAATAATTAACCCAATATCCAAAAACTAATCTAATTCCAATACCTAATCCAATACCCAATAATTAACCCAATATCCAAAAACTAATCTAATTCCAATACCTAATCCAATATCCAATAATTAACCCAATATCCGATGACTAATCCCATTTCCAATACCTAATCCAATATCCAATAACTGATCCAATACCCAATAATTAACCCAATATCCAAAAACTAATTCCAATACCTAATCCAATACCCAATAATTAACCCAATATCCAAAAACTAATCTAATTCCAATACCTAATCCAATATCTAATAATTAACCCAATATCCGATGACTAATCCCATTTCCAATACCTAATCCAATATCTAATAACTGATCCAATATCCAATAATTAATCCAATGTCTAATAACTGATCCAATATCCAATGACTAATCCCATTTCCAATACCTAATCCAATATCCAATAACTGATCCAATATCCACTAATTAACCCAATATCCAAAAACTAATCTAATTCCAATACCTAATCCAATATCCAATAATTAACCCAATATCCGATGACTAATCCCATTTCCAGTACCTAATCCAATATCTAATAATTAACCCAATATCCGATGACTAATCCCATTTCCAATACCTAATCCAATATCCAATAACTGATCCAATACCTTTATGTGTAATAAACACTGTATATGTCCCTCTTAATGACGTCAGTATGAAAGTGTAATGAACATTAATACACAATGACTTTTGTTTTATTATATTAAGAACAGAAACTGAAATGAGAGAGAAGGTCAGCAGAAAAATCACCATCACACGAGTTCGTTTATAAAAATTGCATAAAATTTCTTTATTGTGTTGTACATGTTACAAAATTAACTACAATCATCAATCATGCATTTCTGATACTTCAGTGACGTACGAGCTGCTAGAGGATCAGAATCAGGTGAGCTCAGAAATCAGTCAACACTGATCATACGATTCGATCAGGAGAACAGAACGACGGGAGAAAGCAGCTCAACGTTTTACCGTGTTTGGACTGAACTTTGACACAAAGAGACGAACAGAAGAGTCCAGTTTCTGAAAATGCATTCTAGCTCTACAGAACCCACAGCAGGGTTCCTCCGCTAACCCTGGACCTTTAGCTGTTACTCCCATAAAACTACACTCGACTTTCAGAACCATCTTTGGACGCAGGAGAAAGAAACGATTTCTCTAAGAATCTGTCAAGTTTTCAGGGTGTTTTGGTTTAAGCTGATGGCATCAACATCAATTCAAGCCTGCAACTCCTCACACTCCTAAAAATCAGGGGTTCTACGCGGTTCTTGAATGTACGGTTCTAGGAAAAATGTTTAATTTGTATAGAACCATTATGTTTACTTCAAAAAGCACTGATAAACCAGCTGCTGAAAGGTTCTTTAGGGAACCCAAAGTGGTTCTTCGACTCTAGAACCCTCTATTTTTAAGAGTGCATGTGCTGTTACCTGAGAACGTTACTGAAAGTGGCGCCAAAGCTGACATTCATCACTAAGGCCTTCAACTCTGGATAGTCGAATCCAGATTCCGGTCCTGGATCTTGAGTTATATTAACCTTTCCACTGACTACCAGTGAAAACAAAATCCAGGACCGGAATGTGGATTCAGAGAGTTTATGTACATTAGACGCTCACTGTGAGCAGATATAAGAAGGCGGTTTCTTCTTAGCAGTGGTGAAACTCAAATATGTGGCAAAAAAGATAAAAACTAATGAATAAAAGACAATAAATCTATAAACAATAAAAAAAACTGAAAAGGAGCCAGAAAGGAGCTCATTCCTGACACTTAGAAAACCCGGCACCTAATTATTATTTTTTTCATAGTTAAGTGAAAAGCAATGCCATATCTTAAAATAATAACTTACCATTACCAAAATAATGAGATAATATCTCAAAATAATGACTTAGTTTCTCAAAACAGTGAGATAAAATCATAGTAATTACTTGTCATCGCAAACTAATGACTTGCCATCTTAAATAATGAGATAGTATCTCAAAATAATGACTTTTCATCTCAAAATAATGAGATAAAACCTTAAAATAATGACTTGGCGTCTCAAAATAATGGCATAATAATTCACTTAATAATAAAAAAATAATAATTAGGCGATTCTTTTATTTTATTTGCAGTGGTGGGACTGGGCTTCCATAAGATTAAACTAATTTTAATGTAAATGAAATAAAAATTAAAATGAAGTGTGATAAAGCATAGTTTTACAAGAGAGCAACTTACTTTAAATTGGCTTGTCTCGTTAGCTTAGCATTAGTTTTCAATGCAGGTATTTAAAATAAGTTCTACGTTACTTTTTTTTTAGCTTTTTATTTTACAGCATTCCTCTGTAGCATTCCTCCTCACTGAAAATACGAAAATTACTGTATCTTGCTGTCGTGAGTGCTCTGTGCCCCGGTTTCAGTTCCATTCATTCAAAAGCATCCATACATGGGTCGTTTATTCACCCTTTTCTGGGATTGTCAAGGCACTAACACTGCTAGAACACATTTAAAGTGTCTGCGATTCAAGACCAAATAGTCTGATCCGTCTGATCCCACTCCAAAAAGTGCTACGATGATAAAACTGTGAATATAATAAGAGAAAAGCAGGTGAGGAGCTGAATCTACACTTAGTCAAGCACGTGAACTGAGGTCGGATCAGAAACAAACCAAACGTGAAGACCGAGCGAACTGCATCGAATCCCTTCTGGTTGTAAGACGAACATCTCGGCAACTACGTCAGATTGAGGTAGATCATCACAAACCATGTCTCATAAACCAGTGTGAGTTACTGAGAAAAGAAAACGAACGAGTCTGATCCAATTCAATGAATGTAAACTGCAAAAACGCAATGTGCAATAAAACTTCAGGTCTAATCGATTTAAAGAAATGTGTATTTAACACAAATTCCATTTCTTGAATTTATGGTTAGCTGCAATTTATGGCACAGTAAGAACTTTAAAGCTAAGATGAAGGGAAAGCTTTGAAATAATCGACTAAACTGATTATTTAGAAATAAAACAGACAAATAAATAACTAAAAAAACACAGAGGTGTAAAACTAAATCCAGCACAATGAGCTCGTTTTACAGGCTCATTTTACACTTTATTACACCTTTGGCGAGCCCTTAAACGAGTGAACTGGCTTTTTACGCATCCCAGCCCTTATATACCAACTAACAGCACCGCAGCTCATCCCAGACTCACTTTACTATTAGCTATGGCACTTATTTCCTGTATGAGATCCAAATGAAAGGCTGCGCATTTCCGTATTTCTACGGCAGCAGCTTTAGGACACAAATGACACTTGAAATGTTTCAATCTAAGACGCACTAATTCATCCAGAAATTCATTTGAAACATCACATCCAGTATTGCATAGAGAAAACAGCCTAAAACAGAAACTCAAACTCAATACTCGTCTAATACCTGCAGGAAATACTCTGAAATGGTGTCACCGTGCAATAAAAGAATAGAAAACAAAAACAAGTAAGTAAAAGACCTGCTTTAAGGCCCATAAATACTCTGGCGAAACAAATTTTCAGTCCAGGTGTAGCCGATCGACCGAGACGTGTATGGAGCCCAAATTTTGCCTCTTTAGTTTGGAGAACTGGAGCTACGAGTCTAATAAACACTGGAACTCAATTGTTATAGTCATTCTGTGTTCTAAACCACATCTATACGTCTGCGCCACCTTAACGAAACCCCGGATCGGGGTGAGAGAAGTTTCGGTGACATATTTTTACAGAAACGATTTGGGTGACTATTGACCTCTAGTGTTAGTGATGTTAGCCTTTTAGCTCTGGCTCTAAACTAAAGCAGCAAAGTTTGGACATCAAACACGTCTTGGCCGATCGATCTGGGGTTGCGTAAATCAGATTTTTCACCGAACTATTCCTTCAAAATTCCGTTTAAGCAGAAGAGACATCTTAATACTTTGGTATAAAGGCCTGAAACAATAGACATTAATGTTGGTACTATTGCATAAAAAAACACTTTGGAATTGTGGTTATATGTGTTTTCTTCTGCTTTAACCTGACTACAAAACATGGATGCATTTCAAAACACAGCTTAAATGCATCTGAACAACTGAGGATTTTTGTAGTCAAAGAGAATTTAAAAATTCAGAATTAAACTAAAATTAAAAATTTGGATTGAACTAAATTTAGAGGGAAATATTGTGTAGTTATAGAGTTAAAGCTTGGATGAACATCTAACAGTTCCCACTTTTAATCATTACACTTTTATTTACAGTCAAACTTGGACTGTCTATTGTTTTGTTAAAAAAAATGGTAATCATGCCACCAAAAGGCTTAACTTGTTGATAAATTATGTGATATAAACTCACTTTATAGCCGTGTAGCTGATGGATTTGTAAAATGTCTTCCGATTTGTGCTCAGAGCTCGACGAAAGGAAATTTAACATCTAACTGATGATTGAACTACACATAAAGGCTTAACAGTTAAAAATATTTGCATTCTGGAGCTTTCATACTGCACAGAAGTAAAGTTACACTTGCATATATAAATTTCGTGTATTGTGCAAAACGTTTTTCGCCGGCTTCTATTTATGAACTGAACCAAATTAATGTAATCATGGTAAACATTAACTGTGTGGTGAGCAGAACTGAACAAACAAATGATACATGCTCATCATACTTAGATCCAATGTAAATAAAATCCCTCTGAAATATGCTGGACAACACTTTTAAAAGTAAAAAATAAAGAAGAAAAAGTGCCTGTGGCATCATTAAAGCACCGTAGAAAAGAACACATTTTCCCTTGTGAAATATTTCCCCCATTTTCTTCGTTTCCCCTTTTTCCTGTTTAAACGCTGCTGTGTTCGCTGTGTACGCGGTACTGAGGTGCGTGTGGTGGGTTAAACAGATGCATAGCTCTGAGAGAACCACATTCATCGATATGTCAGATTAATTTCCACATTTTTTTCCTCATTTTAGTGCAAATGCTGGTCAGAAACAGCACTTACTTTAGTGGTTATTATACGTTTTATGCATAAAAACGCACACTCTTTCATAAATGTGTGTGCGCGCCTAAACAGTACCAGTCATAAGTTTGGACACCCCTACTCATGCAATGTTTTCCTTTTTTTTCACTATTCTCCACGTAACAGTGATGAACAATGCACTATGAAATAACACTTACGGAATCATACAGTGACCAAAGAATTTCAGATTCTGCAGTAAACCCTCGGTGCTATGGAGAGGACTTTGTGCTAGATTGAAAAGCAGTCACTGCAATGCACACATGACATTACGGTTCCACGGTGACATGCAGAATACAAGCCAACCTGAAAAACTAAACTTTTCCTGTCGCTTTACCTCTTTACTAACAAACGTGCGTGAGGATTTGCATTTTAGAAATGAAATGCTGCACTGGTGTCAGAAGTGAATACAATCTGCCTTGAAATATTATGAATGCACGATTATTGCTTTCCACTGTGCATCACTTTAAACAGATTTTCCTCACTGAAATGCATCATAACAGTGAAAACAGTGAAATGCAAATTCACAGGTGACCTGCAGAATACGAGCCAAAATGAAAAACGAACCCTCTACTATATTGTTTTCACCTGCTTTCGTCTTTCATATGTATTTGCCCCGTTGAAACGCAGCCAAAAATTGAAGTGAAATGTGAGACGGCGTTTAAACAGTAACATGAGGACAAAGCCAAAATGAAAAGTATAGATTTAACTACACAGATTTAACGCTGTTTACAATGCTGCACAGTGTGAATCAGTACAGCTGTGCCTTCATTATATTTGAATGACGAATGTGTTCAATTCTGAAACCAATGCAGCATTTTATATTTAAAATGCAAACCCTATGCATTGTTTTTCAGTAAAGAGGTCATGCGAGGTGAAAACAGTGTATATATATATATATATATATATATATATATATATATTACTGTGCAAAACACACCTAATCAAACTGTTTCACTAATCAAAACTAGTCAAATCAAAGTGTTTATCAGGGCAAAATATGACTAATTAGAGAAAGCAGGTAATGTAAATGGTAAAGGTAACAGATTAAAGTATGTAAAATCACTACTTACTGTATTAATGTTGTGTTTATTCTACTACTAGTGTTTTTCTAAACTAATAACAAACACTTACTGCCCAGATAAACATCTTTTTAAATGAATCAGGTGCTTAAAACTTTTGCACAGTACTGTATATATTTTTTCTTTTTTTTTATTTTAAATTGTTTAAATTGAAAATAAGCTCTGTTTGTATTTGTTTCATATGTGTTTAAGCCTAAGCTCTAGGCTGCCTGTAAGACTCTGACTCAGTGAACTCAGTAAGGTGTGTCCAAAGCTGTGACTGGAGCTGTATGTAAATATGCATATATCTGTGATTATATAACTGATTCCGGACTCTTGTTTTTCTCCATGTCTCCATGCCCTCCCGGCGTGTGCTCCAGCATGGTGTGGGCTGTTTCCTGGTCTTTCTTCTTCTGCTGTTTCCTCTTCTCCCTCTGCTCCACCCAGGGGATCAGACACAGCACAGCGCCCCCTATGATCGGGGGGATTCCTGCCAGGTAAAAGGCCACATCGTAGCTGCCCAGCCTGTCCCTCAGAAAACCTACAACATGCACAGAAGGGGGAGGAGCAGAGTTAGCGCCGGTGAGTCCCCGACACAGCCGTGATCTGGGCTTTCAGTAACTGGTAAGGGTGAAGAAATGATCCAAAGATGCAGCAGCTCAGTTCATGTCCAGTAGCTGTAACGTGTTTGGGGAATATACTGTCACTGCTGGGACTAAAGGGTTAGAATCACCAGCCATATTCATCATTTTTGTTATTTTAAGTGAAATAATAACTTAGACAGTGTGAATTTAAATGTTCACCAAAATTCATTTTAAGATGTTTCGTATCATGTTTTGAGAATTCTGTGAACAAGAATTTCTCCCTGAGCTGATTTCATACAGCAGAGGGCACTACTGCACCATCATAACACTTAGACCTCTTCAGCGGTGTTTCATATAATACAGTAGGGGAACTGCACTCCTGTAGTGTTACAGTCTGTCCTATAGTGTTACAGTCTGTCCTGTAGTGTTACAGTCTGTCCTATAGTGTTACAATCTGTCCTGTAGTGTTACAGTCTGTCCTGTAGTGTTACAGTCTGTCTTGTAGTGATATAGTCTGTCCTGTAGTGTTACAATCTGTCCTGTAGTGTTACAGTCTGTCCTGTAGTGTTACAGTCTGTCTTGTAGTGATATAGTCTGTCCTGTAGTGTTACAATCTGTCCTGTAGTGTTACAGTCTGTCTTGTAGTGATATAGTCTGTCTTGTAGTGATATAGTCTGTCCTATAGTGTTACAGTCTGTCCTGTAGTGTTACAGTCTGTCTTGTAGTGATATAGTCTGTCCTGTAGTGATATAGTCTGTCCTGTAGTGTTACAGTCTGTCTTGTAGTGATATAGTCTGTCCTGTAGTGATATAGTCTGTCCTGTAGTGTTACAGTCTGTCCTGTAGTGTTACAGTCTGTCTTGTAGTGATATAGTCTGTCCTGTAGTGTTATAGTCTGTCCTGTAGTGTTACAGTCTGTCCTGTAGTGTTATAGTTTATTCTGTAG